TCGCGGGAATCATGCCCTTGTCCACGTTGCGACGCGCCCAATGAGGCTGGCAATAGATCCACGTCGCTTCGGCATCTCCCTTCGAATCGGACCCCCCCCCCCCGTCGCTTCGGCACCCACCTCTCCCCGAGGGCTGGGTCGCCGAGGGGCTGGCCATAGAGCGACCCCGCAAGCCCACTGGCCCTGGCGACGCTCTAAAAAGCACCCACTTCGTTGTTTACCGCGCCGAGGCGCGATGGGTTAGCGGCCAGAAAGCAACAGTTATGATTCGGAAGATGTTTTAATGATCGAAACCCGCCCAAACACTGCAATTTTCGGATCGACGCCCACGGCCCCTCATTGCTCGACGCGTCTGCCCATTTCAACTCGGACAAACGCTGCGCCCCCCAGGCCCAAGATCCCCGATCCCCGAGACCAAGAACGCGCCATCCCCCTGCGTGGGAGACGCGCAGCATATTACCGGGCACGCGTGGACAGATGTCATCCACGAGTGCAACCGCCCCCGCCGAAACCTCGGCGACGCTGGAGAGCAACCCAGCGTTGCCATCGGGCGCGTCGTTCAAATCCCAAGATATGCGAGCAAAGCGATACTTACCTTGCTTGTCCCAGTATTTGAAATGTTCTTTTCGCGCCACTCTGCGTTCGCGAATAGTTCGCATTGCTGCAGGCATCCGCGCGCCATTTCCCCGAAAGGGACACTTGCCCCACGCTTGGAATAGATTGCGTGAAACAGAAGTGTGGGGCCCCCGTTCACGGTGGGAACAGCGCGCCAACATGCGCTGCCGCGATTCGTCGCGCGCAACTTCTGTTGCGCGGGCCGAAAGAATTCATTGGGCGCCCTTACAGAGCAGGTCATCGCGTAGATGTCCTCGCAAATAAATGGCGCCCATCCGCGCGCGCTCACCTCGGCCGTCGCACTGATGGTTCGGCACTGCCAGGCAACCGACAGCGCTGGAATGCATTGTGCAAGAGACGGGTTCGTCGAAGGAACGCACAACGAAATAAAAACGCCTACAACGTTGTTCAACTCCACCGTGGTCGCGGAAGATGCGCAGGCCACTTCTTGTTCTTCGTGGTTAGCGCACATGGTCTTCATGGACTGCGCGATGTTCCAAGGACCGCGAGAAATGAATTTAGAGCCAGACCTGTTGCCAGCGAGCGTGAGTCCAGTGATCAAGTTCGCCGTCACAAGTGGGGAATGCTGCCCGCCTGCGCCATTCCCAGTTGAAACGGGAACGAGGGGTAACGTCCCTCGCATGCTCTACCGCAGTCACTATTGCACATCCTCCTTTGATCGGTGAAAACTCGGAACTTACATCGCCGGAATCCACGATGGTGGATAGGTCACGTTCGATACAATCGTTGAACCATTGGCTGAAACAACGCAGAGGCCCCTCCTGGAGCCCACACGACTTGTTCATCAATGAGTGATTTTGGAATCATGTTCGGGTGCGGCTGGACCACGGAGTCTGATGCGATATTGTTCCCAGAGCCTTCGGCTATTGCAGAGTGTACAATCACGCACGAAGCTTCCTTTGTGTCCGTATGCGCATCGGATGCAATCATTGTTATGTCGGCTGCTTACCTAACTTCTGCCAAGGAAGAACGGGATCCTCAGCGAATGTGGGGAAGATGATGTGATATTGGTCTCAGTAATGCTCTGGGCATCTCGTACCGACATGGCGGAGATGTCTTAAGCTTGAATGTATAAGATGTGTGCGCGGGAAAAGGAGACGACGACGCGACATCGACCCGGTCGGCGCCCCTTTTTCCACTCGCGAAACTGTCCCGAAGTGCCAGCTTTATCCTTACAAACAGCTGCGGGCACGCAGCATGGCGCGTCGGCGAATACGCGGCGGCGGCACAAAGACGGCGGAGGAAGAGGTTAAACAATAAAATTTGGATCGTGCGCGGCCACCCCGCGATCGCTGTCAAGTGGTTTTTGACAGGGGCGGCCGGGGTGGTGGCGTGTAGCCTGCTGTGCGCAGGCCCACCAGACACAATAATGGACATTGGCTTTCGACAACAATGGTGGGGGCCGACATGATTCCCGATGTGTGGTGTCACGTGCGCGGGCGCACCTGATACACTCTGCACGCGCCCCGAACGTGGCGCACCTGGCGCGGCTGGAATATGCGGCATACCTGGCGCACGTGGAGCACGTGGCGCATCTGGCGCACCAGGCGTGCCTGGCACGCTCAAGCCCCAGGGGTGCCTGGCGCGCGTGGCGCGGCTGGCACGCGTGGCGCACCCCACCCCAACGTCGCGCACATGGGGCTGGTTTTGGTTCCCAGTAGCTGTCCATCCAAAAAACGACCGCCGAACATGCTCAGGCTCGGGTGTTACTTATGTGTTGGGAGGGCGGGTGGGAGTGAGCTAGACGGCTTGCTATCTAGGGGGTGTCTTGAACCCTCCCCCTACCCCCTGCCCTGGGCCTGGAAGGGGGGACCAGGGGTTAGAGCGCCTAAGATGGCCCAAAATCGTTCCCATGTGGGCCCTGTGCAACCCAAAAATGCCTCCAAGATGGCTCAAAAAAACCTCAGCATCGCTCAAGAGAGTTTGCGGCACGCCTCCAAGACTCCCCAAGACAGCCCCAAGAGGGTTCCAAGTGCCACCCCCGCCTCCCGAGGCACCTCCCAAGAGGCCAAAATCTATCAAAAACCTTGGGCGAATCAAGGTTTGGGGGCTTCTCGCTCTTTCGTGTCCGATGAGCTTCTTGGGCCCCATGATGGCTCCAAGATGGCCCTAGACAGGCCCAAGAGGGGCCCAAGACGGACCCAAGACGGCCCCAAGAGCGCCGAAGAGGCGTCCAAGAGCGTACCAAGAGGCCCCCAAGAGGCCTAAATTGATTTCCGCCGTTCTTTGGTCGATCTCCTCCAAGATGGCCCCAAGAGAACCCAAAGGGGCGCCCGGCACCAGGGAGGCGCCCAGCACCGCCACGGAGGCCCTCAAGAGGCCCCTAAGAGGCCCCAGCGAGAGGGCAAAGAGGCTCCAAGAGGCCCCCCCGAAGCATCAAAGACGCTCCAAGATGCTCCAAGGACCTCCAAGACCTCTCCTCTTCCTCCGCCTCCGCCTCCGCCTCCGCCTCCGCCTCCTCCTCCTCCTCCTCCCTCCTCCTCCTCCTCCGTCCTCCTCCTCCTCCTCGCTCCTCCTCCTCCTCCTCCTCTCCCTCCTCCTCCTCCTCCTCCTCCTCCTCTCCTCCTCCTCCTCCTCCTCCTCCTCCTCCTCCTCCTCCTCCTCCTCCTCCTCCTCCTCCTCCTCCTCCTCCTCCTCCTCCTCCTACACGAGGCCAATATCAACAAATTGGTCTGTTCTGGATGGGCTGGTGGGGATATTTTTTGATCGCGACCGCGGCGAAGGCAAGTCGGGCGGCGTCCAAGGCACTGCGAACAAGCAGCGGCCTAAATTAGCGCAAAGGAAGAAAAAGGGCGAGGCTGGTGGGGATATTTTTTCCGTCGCGGCCGCAAGCAATGGCGCAGGGGGGCGTCCGAAGTCAGCCCGGGTTGAGAGCCAAACCTAATTACCTAAGCGCGCGAACTACCGGCCGCCGAAACTGCCGCCGAGGGGCGCCGAGGAGCGACGCCGGGGATTGAAGGCAGAGCTGCAAGAGGTGCCAGGTGGGCCAGGCGGCTGAAGTGCAACCATTCCAGGGGCGAGACCACCGGGAAGGCAAACGAATTGTACCTTGTCGCGCCAGGCGCCAGAGGTAAACAAGCCACCCAAACTAGGCACGGCATAGCGTGGGGCTGAGGCTGGTGGAGATGTTTTTCTTTTGATCGCGACCGCAAGCGGGCACCCGCACGGCGTCAGGAAGTCGTGTGAAGAGCGCAAGCCAGTCATGGTGGGGATACGCGAAGCGTCAAAAATTTGCAAGAGTTTCACGGACTGTGGGCGCGTGGTTTTCAAAATGTGGCTCTCGCGTCAGCGCCGCGCACATTCGTCGTAAAACATGACAGAGCTTCACAAATGGAGGGCGGTTCCTTTTCACAATGTGGCTCTCGCCTTAGCGCCGCGCACATTCGCCGTAAACATGCGCAGCGAGTTCCACATAATCTCATGGTTAACGTACCAGAAATGGCGTTCTGGAACGGTTCAGAATTTTTAGGGCGCAGCAGTTACGTTGATTCGCGGTGCAGACGTCCCAGGACTGGCGTTCCGCCGCGATTCAGGATCACCAATAGGCAACAGTCATGCTGATTTGTGGCGCTGAAGTCCCGCGAAGGGTGGTCTAGTACGCTTGATGACCTTCACACGGTCGTCTCCCAACGGGGCACTTCCACCAGGCCTACGAAGAGGGAGCTTGGAAGAAGGGTCTATTTCAAAACCGCTGATGAGTCTTAGGTTTGCACTGGCACTCCTCCGCCCTCCCCCTCAGGATCCCTGGGGCAGGCCACTTCGTCGCCAGCGCTGCAGACATCCCAGGACCAGAAGCCCCCATGTGTGCCGCGTCTTGAAAAGAATAGCTGTCAGAGCAGCGCCTGGAGCAGATGGAGCCGTCCGCTCAGCAACTCGCGGCACAGTGGGCACCGGTTCTTGCGCTGCCGCCATGCCGAAATACAGGGCTCGTGGAAGGCATGGCCACAGCGCGTGATCACACAAAGTCCAGGCACGGGGGCAGCAACTGAAACGGCCGCCACGGGCGGAGGTGCGTCTGCCAGGCTGAGCTCCTCCACGCCGGCCTCGTGGCCCTGATTGTCACGCTCGGGATCAGCTGGAGCTCCTTGCAGTCTGAGCTCGCTGAGGATGCTGGGGTCCCTTCGCCTGTTGCCTGGAAAGTGCAGTCCGCCTTTCGATCGACCCCCTTGGAGATCCAATATGGTGCAGCTTTCTGCGGCTGCTTCTGTGCTTTTGCTAAGCACTTGCAGTTTAGCTTCCAACAAGAGAGGAGTGTTGGTTCGACGGCTGGTATTGATGAGCCGCACAGAATAGATGCGAGCCGACCATAAGCGCAACATCCAAATCCCATTCGCTGTGCTGTTCGACCGCGTGTATGTACGCTCATGCAGTGCTGCAGCACCTTCAGGAGTGCAGTCAGCAATTTCCAACAAGAGTTCGGCGTCACGACTTCCAGAATACCATGGGGAGCGGGGGCCATTCACAAGCTCGAGGCGAACAGATACCTTCACCTCCTGTTCTTCACCCTCGTCAGCTGCCTTGCTCGCCCCATCGCTAGAACTGGTCAGCGGCTCCAAGCATATGCAACAGATCCGGCACCGTGCCCTTGAGGCACGAAGTGGAGCGTACCCAGGTCCTTTGCCTAATAAGCCTCAGTCCTCAGTCCTAAAGGTAAGTCGGGCGTGTCCCCCTACAGGGGGATTGTGGATAATAAAATAATCAAAAAATACCCCAAAATGGTCAAAAAATACTCAAAAAATAGTCCCCTGATTATTTTTTGACTATTTCCCCAAACAGCTTGCTGAACGGGGTGCTGTTGTGATAGAAGCTAACTCTGGCCGAGGGAAGTCGGAGCAGAGACATCCTCACACAAATTTGATGGTCCGGGCCGTTTCGCTTGAGACATCCTCACAACTCTCGTTTCTGAGTTGGCCGGGACTGGCCGTTTCGCCTGAGACATCCTCAAAAAGTTGCGCTCCGGGACGCCACGCGAGAGGTGGTCCGGGCCGTTTCGCTTGAGACATCCTCGAAACTCTGTGCCCCGAGGTGCCGTGCGAGAGGTGGTCCGGGCCGTTTCGCCTGAGACATCCTCGAAACTCTGAGCTCTGAGATGCCTTGCGCGAGGTGGTCCAGCCCGTTTCGCCTGAGACATCCTCAAAATTCTGACCTCGGAGATGCCGCGCGAGAGGTGGTCTGGCCCGTTTCGCTTGAGGCATCCTCGAACTTCTGAACTCTGAGATGCCCTGCGCGAGGTGGTCCGGCCCGTCTCGCCTGAGACGTCCTCGCAACTCTGAGCTCTGAGATGCCGTGCGCAAGGTGGTCCAGCCTGTTTGGCACAAGACATTCTCGCAACTCTGAGCTCCCAGATGCCGCGCAAGAGGTGGTCCAGCCTGGGAGCCCAGAAGACCACATGTTACATATCCTCTCTGGGACCCTGGGAGCCCGCCTGAGGCATCCTCGAACTTCTGAGCTCTGAGATGCCCTGCGCGAGTGGATCTGGCCCGTCTCGCCTGAGACATCCTCGCAACTCTGAGCTCTGAGATGCCGTGCGCAAGGTGGTCCGGCCTGTTTCGCACAAGACATTCTCCCAACTTTGAATTCCCAGATGCCGCGCAAGAAGTGGTCCAGCCAGGGGGCCCAGAAGACCACATGTTACATATCCTCCCTGGGACCCTGGGAGCCCCAGGAGGCCCCAGAAAGCTCCAGGAGGCCGCAGGACGCCCAGAACAGGCCCCAGGGGTCCGCAGGAGATTCAAATCCGGTGTCGATTCGTTGATTCTTCCTGCTCTTGTAGCCCCCCCCCCATTTTAGGGGGCCCCGACGGCCGCAGGTTAGATATCGCCCCCTGGGAGCCCCAAGAGGCTTCAGGAAGCCCCAGGTGGGGTCCAGGAGGCCACAGGATGCCCAGGAGGAAGCCCCAGGAGGTCACCAGGAGGTCCCAGGAGGCACCAGGAGGCCCCCGCAACTCGGAGCTCTGAGACGCCGCGCTCGAGGTGGTCCGGCCCGTTTCGCCTGAGACTTCCTCGCAGCACGTTTCGCCCGAGACATCGTCGTAACTTTGGGGTCCGAAATGCCGCGCGCGAGGTGGTCCAGCCCGTTACGCTGGAGACATCCTCGCAACTCTGGGCTCCGAGATGCCCTGCGCAGGGTGGTCCGGCCCATCTCGCCTGAGACATCCTCGCAACTCTGAGCTCTGAGATGCCGTGCGCAAGGTTGTCCAGCCCGTTTCGCACAAGACATTCTTGCAACTCTGAGCTCTCAGATGCCGCGCAAGAGGTGGTCCAGCCTGGGGGCCCAGAAGACCACAGGTTACACATCCCCCCTGGGACCCTGGGAGCCCCAGGTGGCCCCAGAGAGCTTCAGGAGGCCGCAGGACGCCCAGGACAGGCCCCAGGGGTCCGCAGCAGATTCCCAGGAGGCTCCCAGGAGGCCCCAGGAGGCCCCCTATCAGAACGTGTCAAGGTAATACACATCCGGTGTCGATTCGTTGATTCTTCCTGCTCTTGTGGCCCCCCCCCCATTTTGAGGGGCCCCGACGGCCACAGGTTAGATATCGCCCCCTGGGAGCCCCAAGAGGCTTCAGGAAGCCCCAGGTGGGGTCCAGGAGGCCACAGGAGGCCCAGGAGGAAGCCCCAGGAGGTCCCCAGGAGGCACCAGGAGGCACCAGGAGGCCCCCGCAACTCGGAGCTCTGAGACGCCGCGCTCGAGGTGGTCCGGCCCGTTTCGCCTGAGACTTCCTCGCAGCACGTTTCGCCCGAGACATCGTCGTAACTCTGGGGTCCGAAATGCCGCGCGCGAGGTGGTCCAGCCCGTTACGCTGGAGACATCCTCGCAACTCTGGGCTCCGAGATGCCGTTCGGGATGAAGAGGAGGTGGAGGAGGAGGAGGAGGAGGAGGAGGAGGAGGAGGAGGAGGCATGTTTTAACATGCCATGCCAGCCCGCACTGGACGGGCACGCAATCGACCTTGGAAACTGCAGTGGGTCTAAAAACCCTGTTTGGGAATACTGCACTCCGGCTATAATTTTGAATACTCCTCCTGTAGAGGGACAGGCCCGACCTCATCCTAAAAATTATTGTGCGGGCCTGGAGCCCAAATCCACGAATCCTCTGGGGCCTGCCGCGTGCCTCCTGGGGCTCTCCAGGCGTCTTCTCGCACGACGACTTCTTTGGGCCCACGAGAGCGCCCAGACGGGCCCCAGAGGGCCCCAGAGGGCATCCAGGACGGTCCAAGAGGGCCCCGAATCGCAGAAATGTCGCTCCAAGACGCTCAAGATGGGCCCCGGACGGCCCAAGAGGCTTCCAAGACGCCCCAAGGGGCCTCCAAGAGCACCCCCAAAAGAACCTCGAGAGGTGAAAATTATGGATTTTACGTAGGTGTTTCAATGTCTTGGGAGTTCTCGCCTTTCCGAGCTTCCGACGCTCGAAGACGGCCCACGAGGCCCCCAAGACCGCTCCAAGACTACCCAAGAGGCCCCCAAGAGGGCTCCAAGACGGCCCAAGAGGGTCCCAAGACGGCCCAAGACGCGCCAAAGACTGCCCAAGACGGCCCAAAGACGGCCCCAAGAGGGGCCCAAACCGAACATCCGAGCCTTCCGCCCTAAGCATCGCCCAGGAAATCCCCAGAGGCACCCAAGACCCCTCAGGAGGCCCCGAAGAAGCCCCCACGAGGCCCCATGAGGGCCCCCACGAGGCCCCCAAGAGGCCCAAAGAGGTCCCAAGAATGCCCCAAACAGCCCACAGGGGCATCAAGACTGCCTCCGGGAGGCCCCCGAGAGCCTCGCCCAGAGCCCAACGCACATCCAAGAGGCCTCAGACCCACAACCCAGGCACGGTGGCGGGATGGACCGAAGGCCATTAGATAGCATCATTTTTCCCACCAGCCTGTCCTGGTGAATCTCCGAACAACCTGAATGTGTCTGTCCAGCTGCCCGCGGGATCAGCCAGTCGCCTAGTTTGCAGCTGACGCAGCTGAAAGCTTGTAGCACGCCAGCCACGTATCTCACCGCAGAAGAACAAGAAGGAGGCGAGCACGTAAACCCAGAGGAGCGGCAGACCAACGACTTGAAGAAGCCCGACGGCGACTTTGGAGGAGATGCTCGAAAACACCGCAGAGAGCAGCATCGGCACGAACAACACACGCTGGGAGGTGCGGCCAATCCGTGCAGCAAGCTCTATGGCCTCTTGGACCGTCAGGCTGTGCTCCGACACGATCCACAGCGCCACGCGCGAGCACGCCATCGTCACCGTTGCCGCCACGGTCGCGAACGCCGGGTCGGCAAACATCTCCAGAGGCCGGTCGGCCAGGAAAGCGGCCAGCTGCCACGCCCGTCCTCCGGCGTCCGCGACGCGCGGCCTGACCATGGAAGACACCACGTTCCAGAATCGCGACCTGCGCAGAGACGCACGATGGAACAGGTCGCCCAAGCCTGCCACGACGATCCGGCCGACGTCGGCCCGCAACCTCGCCGATCCTGGCGGGGGCCGACGCCTTGGGCCCCGCATCGAAGCGGCCTCGAACTTATCCCTGTCCCTGAGATGGGCGAGCAAAAAGCGAGGACAATCTTAGGGATATGCCCTCAGAAACTGAGGGGATCCTTAAGATCGGCATCGAGGCGAGGTGATGTCAAACATAGGGATAGGGATATGTTTCAAACTGGTAAGCATCCGTGTGCGCGCCTCCCCGGCCGGGCCAGGAGAGGGCGTATGCCCCGATCCCGGGCCCAGGGGGCCGGCCCCAGCCGGGATCGGCGGGCTGGGCGGCGAGACGTCCCCCGGGCTGACGGCGCGGCTCGACGACGCCGCGGCCGCAGAGGAGCGCAGGGCCGCGAGCGACAGGCTGTAGAGGTCTGGCGGCGCCGTGCTGCCGGCGTGGACCCGTTGTGCATAGACGACGACGGCAAGGCCGGCAGCAGAGCTCAGCAGCGGGTTGCGCCAGATCCGCTGACTCTGCCCGTGGCGCGCCACGGCGCGTGAGGCCTGCGCCCCATTGCCCTTCCCAGGGGGGCCCAGTGAGACAGTTCACGTGGTGGGGCATGGGGGAAAAGGCGTGTCCGACCAGGGGAGGGGGACGAGAACCCCCGAGAACTCCCAAGGTCTATGACGGCCCATGAAGACGCCAAACACCTCCATGACGGACGCCTCCAGGACCATTGTACTGGCTAGCGGCTAGCCCGGGAGGCCCGCTAGACCAGCCAAATATGTCAACAATCGCTGGAGAGGCCTCATGGGGAACCTCGAGAAACTCCAGGAGAGGACCCCGACGGTTCAAATATGTAAGTAGCGAACCCAATGCAAGCCCAAATTGGGGTGCTGTGTTGCATTGTGCTGTACGCGCTGCAAGGATATGGCCAACAACACAATGGCAAGTCAACGCGGCGCATTGCATCGCAATGGAGGGCGAGACAAAAATAACGCAGTGTAACGCACATGAATCCTAAAAAAAATCCCCACCAAGCAACCTAACAGCCATGTGTATGAACATATATGGAAGCTTCTTCTTTAGATTCATGTTCGGATTTGACTGGCAGCGAAACGCTGCGATCAATAGTGGACGCGTCTGCAAAGGAGGCACTACTATCAACGAGACAGCACATTCTTTTTGTGCTCATTCCAAAAGAGACGCTGCTATGCAGGGGTGTAGGTGCAAACGAAACGTTGCTATCAATGGCTTCCGCCCCGAACGAGACACGAGTATCAATGGATTTAATTTCGAACGAGACACTACGAATTACTACTACGGAAGCGTCTGGAAACGAGACGCTGCTATCAATAGTGGATGTCTCTGCAAAGGAGGCACTGCTATCAACGAGACAGCACATTGTTTTTGTGTTCATTCCAAACGAGACGCTGCTATCAATGGATGTAGTTCCAAACGAGACACTGCTATCAATGGACTCAGCCTCAAACGAAACGGGCTGAGGAGCGCCGTATCTCACTATCCACGGCTGCGCTCAGCCTCAGCCTGCGTCAGTCTCAGCCTGCTGCGCTCCCGCATACCCCTTCGGCCTCAGCCTGCCTCAGCCTCAGCCTGCATCAACCTCAGCCTCAGCCTCAGCCTGCCTCAGCCTCAGCCTGCTGCGTTCCCGCATACCCCTTCGGCCTCAGCCTGCCTCAGCCTCAGCCTGCATCAGCCTCAGCCTCAGCCTCAGCCTGCCTCAGCCTCAGCCTGCTGCGCTCCCGCATACTCCTGCGGCCTCAGCCTGCATCAGCCTCAGCCTGCATCAGCCTCACCTCAGCCTCAGCCTCAGCCTGCCTCAGCCTCAGCCGCACCTCCGATGGCGCCGAGGTGGCTCCCGCGCGTACCTGCACCCACGGAACTCACCTCCGATGGCGCCGAAGTGGCCCCGATGCGTACCTGCGCGCACAAAACGCTTCTCCGATGGCGCCGAGGTGGTTCCCGTGCGTAGCTGCACGCACGGAACGCACCTCCGATGGCGCCGAGGTGGCTCCCGTGCGTACCTGCACGCACGGAACGCACCTCCGATGGCGCCGAGGTGGCTCCCGTGCGTACCTGCACGCACGGAACGCACCTCCGATGGCGCCGAGGTGGCTCCCGTGCGTACCTGCACGCACGGAATGAGCTCCGCCGGATTCTCCCGGTTTCTGCCGGCTTCCGCCCGGACCCCCTCTGGAGTGTCATGATGCTCTCTTTTGACCCTACTAGAAACCTATCAGCACAAGCTGTTAGGTAACAAGGAAGGAGCATTGCAATGGAAAAGAATGCAGTGCGGAGACAGCGCAGGAGCGGTGCAAAACGAAATAAAGCAACGGCGCACGCAACGAAACGCAACACGATGAACTCAACTGCGACAACATGAAACGCAATGTTATGAACAGCGATACCAGAAAACATGTTGTGCGAACGCAATGTTTAAGCGCAGCAGGCTTTGCGCATGGAGTGCAAAATACATCGCGACGCGAAGTAAAGCAGTGGAACGTAGTGTCGTGCGCAACGCAATGTTCAAAAAAATGAAGTTCGCCCCGCGCGTTTTTCCCCGGCCTTGCCCTGTAGAGCTCGCCCAACCAAGCTCGCCCAGGGCCAGCTTGCAAGAAGCGAGCTCGCTGGCCCGAGCGAGCCCGCCAGGATGAGCTCGCGCGCGACTAAGCACGCTTCAGACCGAGCTCGCCCGATGATCCTTCACATTGCCCTGCCACTGCCTCCAGAGTGTTGACAAATTCAAGAAAGAGTCGTTCCCCGATCTCCGCTTCTGGACGCCCTCGCCAGGCCCTGGGAACTTCAAATCGACTCGGGATGCAAATCTGGCCCTGGGAGGAAAGTCGGGACACCTGGGCACCCCGTATTGAAAAACTCGGCGAAAGACCCAACCATGCGCAGTTGTGAACTCCGTTGTGACTACCGCTTTCGGGCGCGCTCCCTTATGGGGCCACGAAGCGAGTGATGTGGCGTCGTTTGATGGGTGGGGCTGACGCGCGCGGCCGCGGCCGCTGCGGCCTCAGCCTGGGGCCACGAAGCGCTGCACTGGGCGGGGCGGTGGGGGGCATGCGGCCGCGGCCGCCGGAGCCGTCGGTGGAGCTCCTGACGGGGCCACGAAGCGTTGCACTGGGTGTCGCGGACGCATACGAATGCGGCATGTCGGGCATTCGGTGGAGCTCCCTACGTGGACCATGAATCCTTGTACTTCGCGGGGGAGACGCATGCACCCGCGGCTACTGGAGCGTTCGGTGGGGTTTCCCCTGGGGACACGCAGCGCTGTACTTGGTGGCGCGGACGCATGCGGCCGCGGCCACTAGGGCCTTCGGTGGGGCTCCATATCGGGGGCCACGACGCGCTGCACTGGCCGCGGCCACGGAGGCCTCTGGTGGAGCTCCCTATGGGGCCGCGAAGCGCTCTACTGGGCGGGGAAAACACATGCGAACGTAACCTCTGGGGCCTTCGGTGGAGCTCTCTATGGGGCCACCAAACGCTGCGCTGGGTGGCGCGGACGCACGCGGCCGCGGCCACCGGGGACTTCTGTGGAACTCCCTACGAGCGAACGAGAAGCCACACGCCATTCGGCGCGTGGGCAATTGAAACCGCGCAATGCCAGGGCAAGAAGGTCAGTGCGCAGCGCGGCAGTCAAGCGCAAACTCTGTTGCAAACTGACGCCGCGTTCGTTCCTCTGCCGTGCAATCCACCAGGGCAGAGTCGGAGCCAAAACTACTGCGAATGAAATTGTAAAAACACTTCGCCCGCTCATGCCTGGGACGCCCGGGCGCTCGCCTGTTAGAATCCGTCACGGGTTTCGCGCTCCCCGGTTGAAGCGTCAGTTCCCGAAGCACGTCGCCAGCCCTGCAGCGGCCGATGTGTCCAAACCATAGAAGTTGATGTCTTAGCAGCTGGTCGCTGTAAGGTTTCGCGCCTGCCTTTCTCTAATGCAGTTTGCTTGATACTTGATACCTTTGAAATTCAAGAACGCTGGATGTTCAAAATGCTCGTAAGACACCTCGCTTGGAATCCATCAAAACGCCGCCTTTCTGATTTGCTCAGACACGCAGAATTCAGCGAATACGCGACTTTGGTCGCGCTGCGTGCCTCAATCAGTTCCAACTCTTGAAATGCGGATCGACGCGTTTTTCCATGCCCTTGTATACCTCTGGAATCGCCCCACGCTGCCCCAATCGACAAATTCAATATGTGCTCCCACATACTGAGTGTGTCCAGCGGGGTAGATGACATTGCCACCGGTGCCTCGCAGTACAACGTAGCACCTTGGAATGTGTTTCAGTGTAGTTCCATGCCAATTTCTTTGCCTGCTGCTGCTATCGCATCCAAAGCCTTTTGCGTAAGTCTTTCGTGGCGCCCCGCTAGGAGCGCGTCGTCCGCGCACAATAGGATCGCAAGGACACTGGAAGCCAAAAAACTCAGCGTGTACTCGTCCAACTTATTCTTTGTACTCTCGATGATCACGCTCATGACCATGACGAAGAGAAATGGAAATAATGGAAAACTTGTGACATGCTGGATACTTGATTCCGCTTTCGCGATCTCCGCGGGCAATGTGAGACGGAAAAAATCCGGTCTCTGCATGTATCCCGGATCATGCTAAGCGCATTGTTGGGCACCCCAAACTTTTTCAGCGCTGCGAGCAGAGCGTCCACGTTATCAGGGTCAAACGCTTCTTTCCAATCCAGCGCGAGAAGTGCTACTTTCTTCACGGTCAGCGCTCAGCACCTCAATATAACGGCGTACTGCGTGCACTGCATCGGACGCGCCCCAGAGCCCTGGCCCCCTCCACTGGCAATGGCGCCGCAATGTTAATTTTCAAAAAAAGGGAGCGGGACCCCCGGCAACCCCTATGATGGCAGCTGCCGAGGGGGTGGAGTCTACGATGGACCCCACCAAAGTGACTGAGGCCTATGATGGTCCTCACCAAGGAAGAAAGGGAAGAGAGTCGCCCTGGCGTCCCAGAACACTCAGCCCGTCTTGACGTTCCCGGGGCTCCTGCGATGGGAGTCCTGAAAGCAGGAATCCTGGAAACGGAGACCAAGAATCTGGGCGAGCATCGATTTCTCACACCTACCCCCGCACCCCAGAGGAGGGAGGGAGGGGAAGGGAGTTGTCGGTTGCCCCCCGTTGCCCGCGAGAGGTAGGTAGCCAGGCAGAGCACCGCGCGGCCAAGCCTCCGTTTCGAAGGCCCCCGGAGACAGCAAGCAGACCCAGAGGATCGCCGGAGACACCCGAAGACCTCTGCAGACCACCAAAGCTTCAGAAGAACTCTGGCGACCTCCGAAGACCTCCGGAGGAATCCGAGCACCTCAGGAACCCACCAGCAGCCACCAGAAGCCTCCAAGGAAAACCTCCGAGCTGCACTGTCTCTTCAAAACGAGCACCCAACACCACAGGATGGCTGGGAACTCGACATCGGATGCCCGCGTCCTTCTCCTCGTCCCCTTCTGCTCGTCCTACCCTTGCCCTCCCCTTTACCCCGTCAACTCTTGCACTCGACGCCTCCAAGGGTCAACTGCAGGCTGAGAGAATAGGTTCGGCGGATGTGGCGCAAGCCCTCCGTATCTTCGACACCACGCTCCAGCCCAAACCCAGCATACTCGTAACGATTGGCGTCAGGACGCGCAGCCACAAGCTTCGCACAGCAAGCCATGTGCATCGTACGATTGTGTCCAAGACCTGCTCCAAATGCAGTGCTGTCCCATGTAGAGCCCGTGCGAAATGCTGCGCAATAGCCAACAAAGATGGGACCCAGATGGAGTATGCACGCTTAACCAGCCGCCACGTTGTGGAAATCACGAGAAGGTCTAAGTTCAGAAACAACCACGCACCTATGGCCTCAAGCCTACAACCCCACACGGCGGTTCTGTCGTATCTGTGAAACGTGCGACCAGACAGAAGTAGTCCGACGCTAAATGATCCATGCATAGCCGCGACATAAGCAGCGGCAGAGAAAAGACTTAGCTCATGCTGCACGCACTTATGCCAAAAATGATAGGCGAATAGGGCCGTGCTGATAAAACAGCCCACGGGGGAGAAGGAACGCCCACACGCGCGTACGAAGTGCGATAGATACCTGTTCCACAGCACGGCAATGAAACTTGTGGTGTGGCCTGCAAGTCGAGTTGCAAGCGTTAGGAATCTATTACACAGCACCACTATCGAGCTTCTGACACGCTCTGCTCGCTGGCTTGCGATCTGCCACGTGCGATGGGCTGCGGGACGAATGGCTTGCACCCATATGTGCTCGATACACCTGCGCATATGCTCTCTGACAGACCCTAAAATGACATCAGCAACCTCTGCAAACCTGTGGGCAACTTCGACAGCAGCACCGACACCCGGATGCACCACGAGCCCCACGAATCCGCCATCGAGCCCCCTGGCGCGCAAAAGGGATGGTACAAGACCCGTGCTGTCTGGCTGAGTTTCTATAGCTTTCTGGAGGCCTGCTTCCTCCTGCAACCGCCCCACTGCGTGTACCCTTAGGTCGGGCATGTCCCCAGACAGGAGGATGTTGGATGAAAAATAAATCATACTCAACAAATATTCAAAAGATACCCAAAAATATTGAAAAAATAGTCCCCTAACTATTTTTTGACTATGCTTTCAAATTCCCCCTGTAGAGGGACAGGCCCGACGTAAGTGTCCCCGTCCCGAGGCTCCTCGGGCGTCGCGACGCCTCTCAGGCGGTCACCGAGGCATCCCAAGTATCCAACAGGGCTGAACCTAAACGGTGCTTTTCGTTTTCGTTTTGATGTTGTTTTTCCCTCGTTTTGTCTTCAATCCACCTCTACTGCAAAACGAAGTCGAAACGAAAACGGCCCACGAAATCGCCAAAACACCGTTTAGGTCCAGCCCTGGTATCCAAAACAACTTCCAGAACCGTGCAGTGCCGCGAAGGTGGCCCAAAACAGCTTCACTCAGATCCAGCAGCACCGCAAAAACTCCTAGAGGCGCCCGAAGATCGCAAAAGGTGCCCAAGAAGCCTCAAGAAGGTTCCAAGAAAACCTCCAGGCAGCCCCTGAAATGCCGAAAACAGCCAGCCCGCCGAAGGACCCAACCATATGCAGTCGTGAATATCACGTTACGGTAGCCGCGTTCGATGGAGAATCCTATGGGGCCACGGCAGGCGTGAGGGGTGTGCCGTAATCGTGGTGGTGGGGAGCGCATACGAACTGTGCCGTCGGGGCCTCAGGTGGAGCTCCTTATGGGGCCACGAAGCGCGTGAGGGGTGCGCCGAAATGGGCCCGGGGTCCGCGTGCGAACGTCGCCAATGAAGCCTTCGGAGGAGGAGGAGGAGGAGAAGAGGACGAGGACGACGAGGAGGATCAGGAGGAGGAGGGAGGAGGAGGAGGACGGAGGAGGAGGAGGAGGAGGAGGAGGAGGAGTGTACGCGTGTGTAGCTTGGGGCCACGACACGGTGTGTAGCATGGGGGGAGGCGCGCGCGGCCGCGGCAACGGGGGCCTTTCTGTGGAGCTCCGTAGGGGCCGGGGCCCTCCAGAAGGAGCCCAAACGTCCAACAGCCTTCTCGAGCTTCGATCCTGGAACATCAGCTTCCAGGACGAACTGGTGGCCCCCTAGTGGAGCTCCGTAGGGGCCAGAGCCCTCCAGGACGAGCCCAAGCGTCCAAAAGCCTTCTCGAGCCTCGATCCTGGAACATCAGCTTCCAGGACGAACTGGTGACCCCCTAGTGGAGCTCCGTAGGGGCCAGAGCCCTCCAGAACGAGCCCAGACGTCCAAAAGCCTTCTCGAGGCTCGATCCTGGAGCATCAGCTTCCAGGACGAACTGGTGGCCCCCTAGTGGTGACCCCCCTTGGAGCTGCCCGAGTGGCCCCCCGACACACGGCGTGGTCAGGTTTGGTGCGTAGTCGTTCGGCTCTGAGCGCCGAAAAAACGATGCACAATACCGTTCCTGGGTCGAAGATTGACGACGCCTCGGGAGATGCCAACGCGGTACGGTGCAGACAGGTCGTCCGTGGACGTTTGTTTCGGGGGCGTCCAAGAGGGGTGTCCAAGAGGGGGGTTCTCATATCATGACCCGAGGCATGTGCGCGGACGAGGGGGGGACCAAGGGACTTGTCGAAACCTGATCGGACAAGAACGGGAAGCGCCACTTTAGTCCAATGGGCGCATTGGGCGAATAAGAAAAAGAAACAGGGAGGGCGACGAGGAGGCGATGACGAGGACGACGTGAAGAACGTAAGGATAGCGAGGAGGAGCACGAGGACAAGAAGGAGCAACAGAAGCACAAGGACGAGGGCGAAGAGAACGAGGGCGAGCACGAGGAGGAATGCGGAGGACGATGACGACGACGACGACGACGAACAAGAAAAAGAACTTGGATAAGGACGTTGAATCCGGAGAGGGTCCTGGTGATCCTATCGGGCTACCCTGGGGGTTCCTGGCGCCGCGCGGGGTTGTTTTGGGGCCTGTTGGGGTTTCTTGGAGGCCTCTTGGGTCCTCTTGTGGGCTTCTGGGGTCATCTTGGGCTGTCTGATCGCGTCGGAAGGTTCTTTGGAAGCTTTCTTGGGCTGAGCCGTTTGGGGGCCGCCTGGGGCGTTCCAGGGACCCTCCAGGGCGTCTTTTTGGTTTCCTTTGGGCCGTGCGAAAATCCTCCAGCAGCAATTCCAAGACGATGTCGATTCGGAGTCTCCTCCAGGGCCGATTTGTTGAGGATGTCTCGGGCGAAACGGCCATGGTGCGGGGTGTGGCGTGGAGCCACTGGCAAAGGAAAGTTTTACTTAATTCATCAGAGTGAGGGGGCCGAACCGAGCGGTCATTCACTGTCCCTGGGTGCGCGGCTGAAGTGGAATTCCGCGATGCGGATTATTGTTGTTGTTGTTGTTGAATGCTCATTTCTGAAGAATAATTATTGATCCCCCCCCCACCGGTGCATAATGTTTTTTCTCAATCAAAATGTGCCCCTCTACGCTCGCACCCTGTTTTTTTGGCAGGGAAAGTCTTGATGCTCAAAGTTGGCCCCTGGCCCCCGGGTTACAGCACCAACGGCTCCCTCCTGAGACTTCCTTACAATTTAGCCAAGACCCCCGCTCCCGCCGGAGACTTCCTCGCATTTTATTCAGGAATCGCGCTTTCGCTTGGGCCTTCCTTACAATTTATACGGGAATCGCTCTCCCGGCGCTCTGGAGTCGCGCTCTCGCTGGAGACTTGCTTGCAACTTACTGAAGAATAGCCTTGCGTTGGAATTTCCTGCAATTTGCCCACGCGCCGCGCTCCCGACACCCAGGCACCCAGGAGTCGCGCCCGTTGTGGCCCCATGTGCATGCCCTTCGTGGCCCCGCTGTCGCCATTTGTTTCCCCCTCAGTGTCCTACGTGGCCCAGTTGCTACCCTCAATGGCCCCATAATTGCCTTTTGTGGCCCCGCATTATCTGCACTGCGTGGCCCCCGCTCGTTCGCGCTCTTCGTGGCCCCATACGCATTCCCTTCGTGTCCCCGCTGTCGCCCTTCGTGGCCTAGTTCGTGCCCTTCGTGGCCCTGCTGTCGTTCTCTCTCGCTCTCGCTTTCGCTCGTCGTCGCCGTCGTCGTCGTCGTCGCCGTCTTCGACGTCGTCGTCGTCGTCGTCTTCGACGTCGTCGTCGTCGTCGTGGTCGGTCCCCTGTCCGTCCCTCTTGGGGTCGGGTCGACGGTCCGCGGCCGCCCCGCCGATCAGCGCTGCCGCTGGCCAGGCCGACGGTCCGCGGCCGCCCCGCCGCTTGCCGGGGTCCGGCCTGCAGGGAAGAAAGGCGTACCCCCCAAAAGGGGCTCGATCGAGGACGAAGAGGGCGGGTATCGATGGTTTGGGAAATACGCGTCATTGGACACTCGAGCATAAAAGGGCGAACATTATAAAACGTATAGTTGTTGTTGTTGGTGTTGTTGGTGTTGTTGTTGTTGTTGTTGAACTCTCATTTCTGAAGAATAATTATTGTTGATCCCCCCACCGGTGCATACTACTTTTTCTCAATCAAGGTGTGCCCCATCGACGTTCGCGCCCTGTTTTTTGACAGGGAAAGTCTTCCTGCTCAAAATGGGCCCTTGGCCCCCAGGTTACAACAACAACAACAACAACAACAACAACGGCTCCCGCCTGAGACTTCTTTACAATTTAACCAGGACCCCCACTCCCGCCCGAAACTTCCTCGCATGTTATTCAGGAATCGCGCTCTCGCTTGGGATTTACTTACAATCTATTCAGGAATCGTGCTCCCGGCGCTCTGGAGTCGCGCTCTTGCTGGAAACTTGCTTACAACTTACTGAAGAATGGCCTTGCGTTGGAATTTCTTGCAATTTGCCCACGCGCCGCGCTCCCGACACCCAGGCAGCCGGGAGTCGCGCCCGTTGTGGCCCCATGTGCATGCCCTTCGTGGCCCCGCTGTCGCCATTTGTTTCCCCCTCAGTGTCCTACGTGGCCCAGTTGCTACCCTCAGTGGCCCCATAGTTGCCTTCTGTGCCCCCACATTATCTGCACTTCGTGGCCCCCGTTCGTTCGCGCTCTTCGTGGCCCCATACGCATTCCTTTCGTGTCCCAGCTGTCGCTTTTCGTGGCCTACTTCGTGCCCTTCGTGGCCCTGCTGTCGTTCTCTCTCGCTCTCGCTTTCGCTCGTCGTCGCTGTCGTCGTCGTCG